TCTTCTCTATCGTGTGACATATGGGGGAAGGCTGAAAAAGGGCGACAGAAGAAGAACGACAGTGAGAAAGCCTCAGCAGCAGCGGCGGTGGTAATAATTTCAAATTTGACAATTTAAAATTAAAAAAGAGTCCCGGCACTACTGCTGAGAGAATTAGAAGGCAATTGAATCGTGCCAAATCAAAAACTGCAGAGAAGACTGGAGCAGCACATGTGTGGCAGCCAGAAACTGCGAAAAAAAGTTTCGTCTGGCCCGCGCCAGCCAGCTCACTGGACCGCTCGCTGAGGGAAATTAAATTAGGCTCCTGAAGACTGGGAAAACTAGAGAAGACTATACCAGACTAGACTAGAAGACTAAAGCTGAAAACATTCAAACATTGTACGAAAAGGCAGCTGCAGCTGCAACTGCAACTGCAGTGTCGCTCAAAATGTGATGAATACTAAACTGGCGGCACACTGCAGACCGCAAACGTGATGGAAAAACCAGCAATGGCAATCCAAATAAAGAAAATGGTTCTGCTGCTGCTGCTGCAAGACCACATTTGAATAAGTGCAGATGAACTCAGAAGCAATTCACATTGAGTTCTCTTCACCAGACTTCATCTTCACAAGTGGGTGTCGAAACAAAGAAAAGAAAAGCAAACAATAAAAAGAACAATTTTTCTTACCTTCCGCCAGAAAATGTCCGGCTTCGGTTGGCCAGTGCCGTCACAGGGCATCGACACCTCCTCATTCACCGTCCTCACGTACACGTCGTTTGGCTTACTGGTGATCACTGGTGGGTCTGGTGAGTTGATATGTTGAAAAAAAAAGAAAAAGAAAGAAACAAAGTTAGTCGGTAATTTCTGATTTAGAGCAAAGAAATATGGGCTAGTAATAGCAGTTGTCCCCCTCCCCTCCCTGACCATAAAATAATTGGAATTGTGAGCATTTTTCTCTCTCCACCAGAACGAAAAATCCCAGAATTTTCAGCTTTCGACCTTGCATCATCTTTATTCTTACTGGGGAACTGCTGCTTTTGTTTGTTTTTCTACCACTGCTACTATTAGATGTTCTGGACGCTGCACTATTATTGCTCCTCCGTCGCCTCCACCGCCTGTGTCCAGGGCCAGTCAATATAATATAATAATGATGATAATATCCAACAACGGTGCCATAATTGCACTTTAACAATTCTCCACCAGACACGCCACACACACACACACTTTGGAATGCTCACTCACTTTCTCACTCTCCATTGGCACTCACAAAGAAGCCAACGACAGCAAAGCAAGAAACGCAGCAAATCGAGTGAGAAACGGCGTGCAAGTGGCCAGATTGGTAAGTGCTGCTGCTGATGCTGCTGCTGGACATGAAGATTGGCCAAGAAGGAAAAAGGCCAGAATTTGGTGACAATATAAAGTGGGAGAGAGAGAGAGAGAGGGAGCAAGGAAAACAAGCCGAGAAANCTGGACATGAAGATTGGCCAAGAAGGAAAAAGGCCAGAATTTGGTGACAATATAAAGTGGGAGAGAGAGAGAGAGAGGGAGCAAGGAAAACAAGCCGAGAAAAGTTCTACATGAGGGCTCTCTGGGAGAAGCAGCAGCATCGGCCGAGCAGACTGAATGAACTAAACTAGGAACTGGCTGAGAAATGATTGCTGGAACAGCCTTAGCTAAAACGGTGGCAGCAGCAGCAGAACAATTGGCCACCACTGGGCGAAAGAATTCAATAAAATTTAAATTTAAATTAAATCGATTCGGCAGCAACCACCGCTGCTGCTGCAACCGCGATTACACGCCAAAGTGGAGCGCCAACTTTGCTGCTCTTCTCAAAACAGAGTCTCAATAAGGAAATCTAGTCAGAGTCTATATCTGCAGAGCCAATCGATCCGCCGAGTGCTCGTGCTTTATGGCGGCAAAAGTCAGTCGATTAAGTTTTTGCTCCTTTCCAGTTTTTCCTGTACTAAACTCGACACAGTGCACACGGAACATACAGTGCACTCACTAAGCTCAACTGCAAAAAGCAAAAGCAAAGCAAAAACGGTGAAAAACTGTGCACATTCTCCGAAAAGAAGACAGATTTTCAAAAAGAAAAAGAGAGCAAGATAATAAAGAGCTCAATGACTGAGACTGAAGGCAAACATTACCTCTGACAAGGACCTCCATGTCCTGGGAGGGCTCCGCACTGCCGTGCAGATTGTACGGCCGACAGAGGTAGCGGCCCTGGTGTTCGGTGCTGACGCGCTCAAAGAGCAGACTTCCGTTGGCCAGAGTGCTGACGCCCGGCGTGGAGTTCGGGTCAAAGGGGCGGCGGTCCTTGGTCCAGGTGACCAGCTGAAAGGGCGGCGACGCCTGGATGAAGCAGCGGACGATGCCAGAGAGGCCATTTGGCAGGTACTGTATGGTGGGCGAGTAGACCACTCGAGCGGGATCTAGAAATAGAAGAGAGGAAAAAAGAAGCAAAGTTATGTCGTGTATGGGAGCAATTAATTAAACGCTAGCGAGCCTGCTCGAAATGAGTTCTCTTTCTCTCTCCACTCTCTTCTCACTGATCTGAATTGCCTGCTGCTGTCCTCGATGTGAATGAATGGAGGAGAGGAAGCACTGGTGCAATCAGTCGTCGTCGTCGAAGAAGGAGGAAGAAGAGGGCAGATTAATTAGGCAGAGGTGATTAATGAAAGCTAAGTGGTCGTCGACGTCGTTGAAGCACGGTGGTCTTCGTCGTACCCACCAATAACTCTCTGCTCTACAATGTAAAAGTCACACACACCGAAGAAGAAAAAGAGTACAATGGCGGGGAGGCCAATGATTGGTGCTATTTGGGCAGCAAGCCAATCGACTGCGAATGGCGCTTAATTAAGGGAGCAGACTGAACTAGCTCTACTTCAAGCTAATCCTCCCCAGCCATTGTCTGACTGTGTGTGAACTCAATTCAGCGGACATCATCAAACGAGGATGGTGGTGATGGTGATGATCAGTTCAGCTCAGTTTAGCTCATCAAAACCGAGTACACTTACACTCAATGTTGAGCCAGGCTTCGGCGGTCTCGGGCAGGCCGATGCCGTTGGAGACCTCGCAGGTGTAGCGGCCGCCGTCCTCGGCGATGCTCGGGTTGATCAGCAGACTGCCGTGCTTCACCACCACCCGACTCTCCATCCACAGCAGGTGGCTGATCTCGACGCCGTTGTGGAACCACCGGTGGGTGACGTTGGAGGGCAGGGCCTTCGCCTCGCAGACGAACTCCACGCGGTCGCCTTCCAGCTTGGTGAGGTTCCGCGGCGGAAGGGTGATGACGGCTGGCCCGGCGATGATGATCTTCGTGGTAGTGCTCATGGAGCCCTCGCGGTTCCGCGCCGTACAGCGGTACTCGCCGATGTCGTTCAGCTGAATGCTGCTGATGCGAAGCTCGTTGGCGAGGATGTGCACATTGGCGTTGCTCTGCAGTGGCCTCTTGTCCTGTGTTGTGGTTATTAGCAGGAAAAAGAGAATGGAAATTAGAAATCAGATCAGATACAGACAATATGCTTGAGCATTTGTTTTGCTTCCCAGCTGTTTTGTTTTGTTTTGTTTACCTTGAACCAGACAATCTGCGGCGTAGGCGTGCCGACTGCCTCACACGGCAGGGCGATTGACTCGCCAATCTTGACGTAGATCACATCGGGTGGCTTGATCCGAAAGGTCGGCGGAGCTAGAAGTGGTAGAGTGAAAGAAAGAATAATAAATG